GAATAAACCAAATTTTGTCCTAAAACTAGTTCAAACAGCTATCAATCGCAAGAACATTACAGAGAAACGTTACCACTGTCTATCGAGGCTTGGTGTGTCTTCCACATGTCAAAAGCGTTTGACGTATGGAAGTCATATTTAGCGCTAAATCTAGACTTCCTTTTCTCTTATTGAAAACCTTGTCGTTTAAGAATCAGCTTTGCATTAATTCTTCTATTATGTTATTTTGCGCGTTTGGTCTATTTTAGCTACTTTCACAGCATAATGTCTTACGGCATTTTACTGTGGGGTCGGGCTGCTGACATAGAATCCATTTTTATTTTGCAAAAGAGAGCGGTCAGAGCCATTTATAATCTACGTCGTTGCGAATCTCTCAGGGAACTATTTAAAAAGATTAATATTATGACAGTACCTTGCCAATTCATTTATGAAAATATTATGTATGTAAGAAAGAATCTACATCTTTTTAGTAAAATAAATGAAAGACATAATTTTAGTACTAGAAATAAAGATAAAATAGCTCAACCATCTTTCCGATTAGCCAAAGTTCAAAATTCATTTATAGGGTACTGTGTGAAATGTTACAATAAAATACCTGGTGACATTTTAAAACTAAATGAACGAAAATTTAAATGTTTTATTAAAAGTACACTTTGTAAACAGGCATATTACAAATTAGATGATTATATTCAAGATAAGAATGCTTGGAAACATGCTGGTCCTGCTCCATAGGACAATCATAGAGCCTGGACAAAATCAAATTGGTTGCTGATTTTTTGCTTTAAAATATTTTTGTTATTTCTTTTTTTTTTAATTTATAATGCTACAAATGTTATTATTTTATTGTATCTCACACACTGTTTTGTTGTGTTTTTTTAATATTTTTATTACTCTTTAATGTTAATATTCTACGGTTTCGATATTTGTAAATATGTGAGGAACATGTATACTAACTTTTTTAGTATAGTAGTTTATTCTAAGAGTACATTGTCTTCACATATAATTATTTAACAAATGTAACAAAATATTGTAAACCTATTTTAAAAGAGTAAGTGTGGAGTTTCTTGCCCATTCTTCTCCACACGAAACTACCTTTTGGAAGGGGCAACTAGAATCTTCTTTGTATTTTTTTTGACGTTCAAAAGTGCCATTTTAGATGGTCTAATTGAAATAAATGATTTGACTTTGACTTTGACTTTTTGACTTTGGACACTATCATAAGAGAGGCGCTGGACAGAAACTGGTGGAAACAGATAGTCAGGTCCAGATGCTTCCATGCTGATCCTTGATTTAAGAGAGAGATGTTATATTGGAAAATATCGCATGGCGTGTCTGCCTTATATATTTTAAAATTATTTATTTTACAGAATAATATAATAAATTCATGATACCTGATACCGTATCAGTCCTGTTAAGCAGTGCGACAAAATGCATATAAAAATAGTTTAACCTTACTATTTATGTTGGTTAACGCTAGGCTATCTAATAACTGACTGTATAGTCCATTTATTAACCACAGTAGCAAATACCTCAGCGTTCTCTCGCCATATACGTTGTTTGCTATCCATGTACGAGCCGAACTACGATACCACTCGGGTCAGTACGTCTCTCGAATGTCTTCTGTCTATTATTATTAACCTAAACAGCGTTACAGTGAGTAAGAATGATAATAAATAAAAATACATTGGCTGATAATTTAAAACATAAAATTAAAAAGAATAAAATGAAGAAATACCTATAGTTAAAAGCAAAAGGTACATTATAGGTAGAAAACTAGTTGGTAAATAAGGGTATCAATGTGAGTATGTATAAATGACATACTTTTTTCAATTTTAACCGCTTAAAATAAACTAAACATTATCTTTATTTTAAAGAATAAGTGAAAATGAAATTACATATGATCAAAAATAACAAATTACAACACTCTTAAGACTTGCTGTGAAATTCTAATTGTTAAATTTCTTATGTACTATTACTAAAGTAATTACTACAGCCTGTCTATGTTGGGAAATCGTGAACTAGTTGTAATATAGAGGCGATAGAAAACAAGATTTCTAAATTATAAATTTATTTTAATTTGTTCCTAGAACAAACAGAAAAATCTTATATACTTTGAGTCTTTAGTGACGCGCAGTGATAATATACTTAGTCATACAGAATTTTATTATTATTATTAAAGTTTTATTAATCCATACAACAATTGGTTAGTTTATATTCCTTAATTTTAGTATTAGTTGTGTTTATAAATTTTGTTACATTTCTTTTTTTTTTTTTAGTGGTTTAGTTTCGTATGGTCCCTTTTAGGATAAAAGCCTCCTCCATATTTTTCCATTTCTCTTTGTCTTAAGCAAAATTCATCCAGTTTTCCCCCGCTAGTTCTATAATGTCATCTGTCCATCTTTTCTTTTGTCCTATACATTCTCTGTCTAGTAGGTCCAGTCCATTTTGTTATTTCTAGTTACCATCTTTTGTCCCGCGCATGCAGTGTAATTTAAGGGACCTCAACTTATTTTTCTTCAATACAAAAATTGTTATTCTTATGCAATAACTGTTAAATTATTGATACCAGCGACATCAATATAATTTTAAGGAATCGTATAAGAATATGAATTTTAATATGCTCACAGTGAGCCCAGATCCAAATGGTTTGCACTCTACTTCATAGGTGGCGCAAATCTAAATCACAACGAGAACAAACATATTATATATATTTGCAATATAAAAATATTATAAAATAATACGATAGTGGCTCAAAACCAAAACTTTAATGGTTAAGATATCTGCCCTTACTTTAACACTTAATAATTAAATCTAATTCAAGTTAATACATAGTTGGCAAAGTTCAATATCGCTAACATTCGTGTGGGTCTACTAAGTTGTTCAGATAAATACCTGCAGCTGAGTTTCATCATCGAATAGCGAGGCTGAATACCAAATTCCACCCGTATTACCTCGACTTCCATAGTTCTACAACTGAGCGTTTTTAAGGCAGTTTTTGCCGTGCACCACCGCTTTGTGGAACCAGCTGTCCACTAAAGTATTTCCGAACCAATGCGACTAAAAGTCCCTTCAAGAAGAGAGCGTACCAATTCTTAAAAGGCCGGCAACGCGCTCGCGAGCCTTCTGGCCTTGAGAGCGTTCATGGGCGGCGATATCACTGAACTGAACTCTATTCTAAAATAGGTATTTGAACACGAGAAAATAGTAATCATAGTTATGAATTAGCGTCAAGCGTGTCTCCCGTGTCTCAAAACATATTGGGTATTGAAATTCTGGAGCCTATTCTTGTTTCTGAATCTCACCCTGAGCACAAATTAAACTAAGAAAGATTACCTGAAGTCAACTTAGTTTTATTACTATAAAATTCCATATTTAATAATTGAAAATGGAAACACAATGAACGGAAACATTTAATTGTACTTTTTAAATTTAGAATAAATATCTCGTGTCACAGTTTTCGTTGCCATACTCCTCCAAAACGGCTCGACCGATTCTCATGAAATTTTGTGTGCATATTGGGTATGTCTGAGAATCGGACAACATCTATTTTTCATCCCCTAAATGTTAAGGGTAGTCCACCCCTAAATATTTTTTTTATTTTTAGATATTTTTTTCTGTTTTTATTTTTTTATGATACAGCATTAAAAATACATACAACCCCCTAACTTTCACCCCTCTACGATCAACCCCCTATTTTTTTATTATAAATGACATATATGGCAAAACGACGTTTGCCCGGTCAGCTAGTTTAGAATAAATATCTATGCATTTCACACTAGTCAGCCTTTCCTTGGCATCTAAAGAATATATTGTTTGCCCCGGGAACAAAGTCATAAAAGCAAAATCTATTGTTTTAGGAAAAATAAAAGAAAGTAGTACTATTATATTATTATTACTAGGATACTAAGTACATTTTATATACAAATTTATAAATACATATGTCAAACAAAAGCTATTTTTTCCTATTTATTATGTATCTATCTAATGTAAATAGACAATAACTAAATGTACATTACAGTAATTTATCTAATTAGACTGAAGAGCAAAAACGTTTTACGACCGTTTAAACATAATTACGGACGACAGCAACCGCACATTACGGCGATACATTTTGACGAATCTCTAGAACGTAATCATGTATTACCACTCTTTTCGCGGAAATTTTATTACGTGGTGAAACAGGGATATATTATTACCACTTTATTTGTTTTTACCGTCGCATTAACTTTTATGAGTATTTGGTACAATTACAATCTAAACTATAACAGTTATAAGATAGGTACTATCTTTATTGTTGTTGCGATCTAATTCATTAAAGTAAAATTAGGTAAACGAGTATTACCAACATTGTACTTTTTTTTTTCGTAGACTAAAGGCATCCTCGTGTTTTTTTATAATAAAAAGTTTTGTAAAAACTCTGTTAAAAATTACAGTTATACATCACATCATGTCAAACATGAGAAAACATTAAAACAGTCGTAATAGGAGCTTTACGACTTGGTTCCCGAGGCAAGCGAATTTTTGAAGTGAAATATTAGGCGCATGAGGGTAAAATTTTTACGGAACGTCACATAGATGTGCAGCGTTTTAGTCGAAAGGGAGAGAGAGACCCTTTAGAAATTCTATTTTTAAAATTAAAATGCTAGGTGTTATTATTATCGAAGATATAAATTTATTGTTTGTATTAATTCTCGAAACTTTTAATGTTATAATGATAATTAAATTCACTAAATTCCTAACATAATATATTCCTTTTTACCTCCCTCTAAGTCTCGGAAATCTAAAGTTTTAGATTTGTATAAATATGAACAAGACTTAAAAAATTGTTTTCCAAAGAAGTTTCACTTCTGGCATGTGTAATTTGTACGCACGCACGATTTATTTAATAGTTAAAAGATTCATTAACATTGTATAGGTATATTGTAGATTATTAACACACGCTTAAATAAAAATAAATAAAGGACTACGGGCACCCTAATTCTAGGCAAACATATTCGATATTAGCCACCTACATCATGGCATTCTTCATACGGAACACAGATGCCATCCTTCCTCCAGTGACCAGGCAGACAGCGGCAACTAGGAGAACAGTTAACGGCAATGAGTAGTAGGAATGGACATTCTCCAGTTGGCGTGGCTGAGCTGCAATCTTCACCAGGACAATAGAGCGGGCATGGTTCAAAATACTCATTCTTTCCTGTGCAGGCGAACGGTGCTGGAAATTATTACAAATTGTTTTAGCAGTGCAGAATAAATTGCTCATGCAGCCTGATAATGGACAGTGGTGCCGTGAATTTCTTGATACTTCTACTTCTTTTGGCGCGTTAGGGAAAAATTATGAGAGTAAATTTTTACGATGCGCGCGCCCACCGTCACAAGAAACCGACACCCTGAAGTTAGCTATAGTCGACATTTCAGTTTTTTCTGTTGTTAGTGTAGTTTTTTCTACAAACGAAGAATAAACTTTTTGAAAAGATTTATATATTGTTACGCCAAAGAAGTATAACTTCTAACGCGTGTTTATATACATATATACGATATATATATCGTACTCGTAAACCGCTTCTCATTCATTCTTTCTAAATGGCCGAACCTAACCTAACCCTTAACATTTAGGGGGATGAAAAATAAATGTTGTCCGATTTGGTCCACCCCTAAATTTTTATTTTTATTTCTTAGACAATTTTTTTACAACTCCACTTGTCTAAGTTAGCAAAAATAAATTGTGAATATAAGGGTACCTAATAAAATATAAAAAATAGTCTTTTTATAAACACTCACAAATCTATAAAGCAGATGTCTAATACTTTAGCTTTTACTTGTACTCGTAAAATCCAATCAGTTATTATTTATACAGGAATATTATTTATACTCAGCACCAGTGGTGTAACAATAGGGTGGCTGGTCTGGCAAAATACCACGGGCCCCCAACCCAAGAGGGCCCCTGCCCAAGATATATTATGTTCTATGGATGAATGTGAAGTCTCCAATTATACGCATTGGGCTAGGGTGGGGACAAAATACCATGCCCTCCTAAGCCTAAGACAGGAGGCCTATGGCCATTAGTTGGACATATACAACGTGTAATTGAGTACACTGAAGATCTCAAAGTTTATTAAAATTAAAGTGCCACAGTGCATGAATTTGCCACGGGCCCCAGATGGTATAGTTACGCCACTGCTTAGCGCTAAACCTCGAATTACTTATCCTAAATGGCTAGAAGTAATAATTAACTCACGACATTCAGTAGTAGGTATACACGTGCCATTGTAACGACGATAATTGAATGCGCACTTGCAATCCGGTGTACACTGTGTGGGCTTCACACATGGTGTGCTATCGTGCTTTCCGTCCTTCGGGCAGTAGTCATATGCGCAGTCGGATGGACAACTATCCAGTACTTCGTCGATGCTGCAATTCGGTGCACCTGAAATTCCAGATTTAAAGATTATTCGAGTTCTGCGGCCACAGATCTGCCTGATACTACTATGTCCGAAAAAAAAAAAACAAAACGATCCCTTTTCTTCGGGACAGTGGATACAGGAGCAGACGTATAATTGAAATCTAAAGCGTTGCTGTAGTTAACACTGCTACGCGGACTGGTTAATATTTGTTTAACCGATGTTCGATTCTAAGTAGAAATTTCTTAATAACTACAGTACAAACTCTTTATAACGTTATAACGAAAAACTCTATATTTTTTTTTCTGCGGTTATTTGCAATCAGCCCCAAGGCTATGAGCAAATTTTTTCTGTGGTGCTGTCATGTGGAGTGACTTCCCATTGGAAGCATCTACTCATCTTCTGTCTAGAGCTACTGCCGGTCTTCTAGCTCTAGAATATGGTGACGTTTTAGTCGACTCACATACTGTCTAATGGTGAGTTGGCGAGCAAGTTCATTCGGGTGACAGCTTAACCGCCCTTTGTATTTAGCTGCCAGTCTCCGGATTTCCTCTTTGATAGTTCTCATTTTAAGGTGTTCGTGAACTTCGTTGTTAGTTATGTACCATGGTACTTTTGCAACTGCTCTTAGGATCTTGTTCTGTTGTCGCTGGAGTATATTTATGTTGGTATCACTTGCGCTGCCCCACAGTTGGAGGCCATATGTCCAAATGGGCTTTAGGATGACTTTATATATAAGAAGTTTGTTTGTTACCTAGAGAAAGTCTTGAGTTTCTTCCTAGCATCCAGTAAAGGTTGTTGTACTTTAGCTGTAGCTCCTGCTTTTTACATTTGATGTGGTGCCTCCACGTTAATCCACGATCAATGTGTAAGCCAAGATATCTTACATGATCGCTGTGGGGCAGAATACATTGGTCCAACTTTACAGGTGGGCAGTCTCCTCTTCTAAGGCTGAAGGTCACGTGTACTGACTTCGCGGCACTAGCTTTTATTTTACTTTTTTGCAGCCATTCGTTAACTTTGTCAAGGCCCTTCTGCAAGTCCTCTGATGCAAGTCCTGGGTCTTTATTGCTTGCTAATATAGCGGTGTCGTCTGCAAATGTTGCTGTGGTTATTCCTGGCAATAGCGGTAGGTCAGCAGTGTACAACGTGTAGAGCATGGGGCCGAGAACAGATCCTTGTGGTACCTAGGCATCAATGTTTTGAAATTCCGAAGTGGCGTCACCTTCTTTTACATAAAATATGCGATCCTCTAGGTAAGATTTGAATATTGGAAAGTAAGAGTGGGAAATATTCTGCTTGATCTTACATAGTAGGCCTTTGTGCCAGACCTTGTCAAATGCTTGTTGGATATCCAGAAACGCTGATGAGCAGTATTCCCTTTGTTCTAAGGACTTTCTTATGGCGTCACATACTCTGTGAGCTTGTTCCACTGTGCCATGGTATTGTCTGAAGCCGAATTGATGATCTGGTATTACTTTGCGCTCCACAAGGCTTGGCACAATTCTACGAAGTATTGTCTTTTCCAATACCTTCGATAGAGTAGGAGGAAAAACTCTATATAACGAAGAAATATTGTCATATACTTAAGTGTACTTGTTTTTATAATCAGCTTACGAAACTACCATTTTGAGGTGCCGAAATTTCTAAAAAAGACACCTGAGGTCATAAACAGCCGTCTCGCCTTTGTTATTGTTTATTGCATTAACACGTGTGCCATTATTCTTATTCTTTATTATTATTATTCTTATTATTCTTAGATTACATTGCCTGTAGGAAATTTTGGTCTCAGTTACTAAACGCCCCACCGTCACCTATCGTGTGTAGTCGTAAACAAACTTTGAAACTGTCAAGATGGCCAGTAAAAGAAAAGCGTTATGTTTTATATGTGTTTAGAACAGTTAGCCTTTTGGTAGTAATAAAATTAGAATTTATCGTAGGTAATTGGTTAAATTTGGTTTTTTTTTCTCTTTCCGAAAAAATATGCTCGGTCCATTGAAATTCGTTATAAAGAGTTTATACTGTACTTTGATTGTCCAAATGCATTATTACTAACAATACAGCTGATTCATTCTATTTATAAACCTACTTTTTGTGGAACTTGGAGTCGATAGATAAAAAAACAAACCTATTGCTATGACTCTCGAAGTTAAGGAAAAGTCGAGGTAATCCCAAAGAACAACACACGTACAACTTCAGGTTTTGCCCGTTAACATTAATTATTAAGACGCTGTTTATTTGATTGATTTACCTTGTTAGTGCTATGTTTGTCACGTGTATGAGCTGACGCCTGCGATATTGCGAGGCAGATTGAAATATTTAAGGCACAAGTAAATTATATGTACCGCTGATTTCAGTTTGAGCATTAGTGACATTTTGCTATGCAACATTTAACAGGCGAATTATATTTTAATAACGGCTCTCTGACAAAACACTTCAATTCAGTGGCGTAACAATAGGGTGGCAGGGCTGGCAAATGCCACGGGCCCCGGACCCAAGAAGACCCCTGCCCAAGAGATGTTCTATGGATGAATGTGAAGTCTCCAATACGCATTGGGCTAGCGTAGGGACTACAGACCATTCCTTCTCGCCTAAGAGAGGGGGCCGATGGCCATAAGTGGGACATATACAACGTGTAATTGAGTACGCTGAAAATCTCGAAGTTTATTAAAATTAAACTGAGTAGGGAGGTTTTTTATAGATAGGGCCCCATCAAAAGAATTGCAACGAAAGATTTGCCTCGGGCCCCAGATGGTATAGTTACGCGACTGTTAAAATGAACAATGTATTAATGTTCTCCAAAGAATGAATAATCCATTTGTAATTGCGAAAATCGGTTGTTTAGTGGTTATCCGGTATTACCGCGTACACAACCAAATAACGCTTTCTAAATCTTTTTATTATTTTCCAATCAACTACAGTCAAATATATTTAACTAAAATACGTTCAACTAAAATTATAAATGTATTCATTATTATTAAAATAACATAACATTTAAAATACCTTACAAAAACGCGGAGAATCTAATTAACGAAATTATTTAATTACGAAGCAAATTAACTAATAGACTTACCTAATACTGCATGAAGCACAGATAAAACAAAAAATATTCGTGAATACGTCATCTCGCTAATAAATAAGAATGTTAACTGATTACGTTTCAGTACGTTCGTCACGTTCTTCCGATTTATTTGCTGTGGTTATAAAACTATAAAAAATTACCTCTTAAGTGTTAATTTATGCTCGTAATTCCTTAGTTATTAAATTTGTTGTTAGCGCCATCTATCGAGTACTACATGAAAAGATAGAATTTTGTTAACCAAAAGCAAGATTAGTTACATTTACACACAATAGATGTCCTAAATAAAATATTGTAATGTAAAAATATTATAGGCTCTAAATATAAATTATATAAAATTCTCGTGCATTGTTGTAACAAATTCCTCCGAAGTAGCTTGACCGATGTTTTTCATTATTTTTGTATCTTAATTAACTAATATTATATTTTATATACCTGTAAATATTGTAGTATGCTTTTAAGCACTATTTTTTTTTTGTTTATTTGTCAAATTTTCTACCAAATTTTAATTGCAATATTATAACAATTTTTTAAATACAATTATTAGAATTAGTAATATGTAGTTTTAATATGACAATATTAGACAGCGAAACGCGTCACAGATTACAAAAATATTAAACTTTGACTTGATGATATGATTATATATTATGATAATGTAATTAATATGTAAACTGTACTATGTAAAATGGCACCTTTTAATTATGTAAGCCAAATTTACACGCCATTGTGTGTGGCGCAATATGTGAAGTTTAGATTGTACCACCATAATATTTTGTATCATATTCTTGCAAATAAATATTTAACGATTATTATAATATTAAAAAAATCAATATTAAAATTTAAAGTGGTTAAACTGTGGTGAAAACCTATACTCATTAAAGGAATGGTTGACAGCGCCATCTACCAATCGTTAGTATAATTACAATAGTAGTTTAGTGAATTGAAAACCAACTTAGTTGCATTTACGCTCAATAGATGTCACCTCAAGATCACGAGAAAAACCTCAAACTTATTTGTAATCTCATACAATAATACCGCACTGTACTATCTATTGTACGAAAGACCCCAGAGTGCAGTAGCACTCCACGGGGACAAATTGTATCCATTAATCAATTGATCCTTTAGAGCTGTCAATGAAGGACATTATCTCACTAATGAATTACTTTACGATGTTTGTATCAGATTGAACAGTTAGAGTTTTTAGAAACTGAGCTAGGTATATTTTTGAAGTTGTACTTCTTTAGGCGCGTTATGAAAAATTGATGAGAGTGAAATTTTACGATTGCGCGCGCACCTATGACACAAAATTGGCAGTGTGATATAGCGTGCGCGAGCGAGATGGGAATAAGACAAACTACAAGTAAAAGAAATAGAATATGCGTGAAGCTAACTTCACGCATATTCTAGCTTAGCAGCTTAACAAGAATTTTGAATGACCATGACAATTGACATCTGACAATGACATTTACCTTTTAAACAAATATAGGAGTTTTAATTATTGTTTAAAATTAATAATTATATACCTAGTTATTTTCATTATACAAAATATTTGTGAAATAATATAAAATATTTGTGAAAAAACTGTGCTAACCTTCCTGAGTGCTTCAATACAATTGAGGTTAACTATCCGTATGTATTATCGAGTATTATTGTTGATTAAAACTGAAACATGAACCATTATTCATTGCTTTTGTTTATTGCGTTTGTTACAGCAACTTTTTAGAAATATTCTACGACCCTATATATCAATAATTGAGAACAAAGATTTAAGCACGAATACTAATAAGGAGAAAATGAAGGCTTGGAGCGATATAACAGAGAAGTAAACATTTTAATAAGTACCTGCATCTCAAAAAAATGACCACATTATTTAATCAAAACATCAGATTTAATCTAGCAAATATAAGGACAAGAGACAAAAAACAATTGATGAATCAGTGGAAGTGCACTAAATTGAATACAAAAAAAGAGTTGTCATCTTATCACCGTGAAACATCAAAAACTGGAGGTGGAACAAAGCCACCATCACCTTCTCGAGACACAATGGTTTGAAGTAGATTTCAATGAATTTGATTGTGATGGTGTCGAGGTAGGAATGTTAATTATAAATATGATGTATGGTGATGTTCAAGGTTCAACCTTTCAAGCATAGGCATATGCTTACAACATTACTTTATTCCCCTACAGGGTAGTTAGAGATATTGTAATACCTCAAAACATCCATGTTGCACTTGTAGTACCGAAACTCTGTCCTGCCAGAAGTGAGCCCATTCCCACTTATAATGGACAGTGGGTATAATACACCTTAATACCTGAGTGCGAACCACTCACCATGATACTTAAATTAATAGATGTTATTTATATATTTCAGGTTATTACAAATAAAATCATTTTGGAAACAATTGATATCCCAAAAGCAAATAAAGCCAACAATGACAAGGTAATAAATCAGTTTTGACATAACTTGAATACTAAAAAAGCCAAACAAAGGTGTGCACAACAGTGACAACATAACTTAACAATTTCATTATTTTGTAGGATTAAAGAAAGGTTAAAGAAAATCATGTCGAACTGAACAACAAGAATCCCCAAACAACTCCAAAGAAACCTACAAGGAAGACACCGGTATTATATTTAAATTATCTCTATCTTTAAATAGAATAAAAGAAAGTTGCTATCCAGGTCTGTAGCATGTGCTACAAATTATATTATTAACACATTTATATAATTATATTAATATAAATGTGTTAAAAAATTTATAATATGAATTATAAAAAATTTTAAGTTTTGCATGGACAGAGCTTAAATTAATATTCTCTTATTTGTTGCAGAAAGCAAGTAGTTTTGGAGAAGCCTCGTAGATGCACAACCAAGTAATGATTAATTTAAAATTACAAACCGAAATTCTGATGAAGACATTAGAGTCACTTAAAAATAAATAGTATAATGAAATAAAAATGTTTTAAAGATAAATAGTGTTTTATTTGTTTAATGTAAGAGAATAATAATAAATATTTATTTAATTAATTTTTCAAATGTAAACTGAACTTTATTGACTTTAATGACTCCTTTTCCAGTCTTTGATTATTTAATTGTAATTAATTATTTGCATGCAATCAAAAACTATTTTTAATAATGCCAAAGAAGTATAACTTCTTACGCGCGTACATAAGTACACGCACCCTTTTTTTTATTTATTTGCTGCGTTTAATGTTCCTGTCAGGTTACGAGCGGATATTTTTTAACTCGTGGGGAAATTTTTGTATTTTTTTTATTTTTTTATTTATTTATAATAACACTCCTGTCCTAACAGGCGACCCCAAATTGACAGGAGTGAACAAAAGCTTACAGACGAAACAAAAAAACAAACATACAAAATCAGGAAAAACAAAATTACATAATAAAAAAAATAACTAACCACTAGGTATAGGCACTAACAACGGCCCTCAACGGCCTCATGTGGAATGGACTTTAGCGCAGCAAGGACCATATGATACTCATATCAACTTATTCGTCGTGATTTGTAGAGCTGGGGCAGGTCGGGTACAATGGTTGACAGCATGCGTCAGCATTCCTTCTGAAGCGTAATACAACTTACCAAAGATTCAAGGGGGGCCGTTCAAGTAGTGTTACGTAAGCAGATTTACTGCAATTTATCCCCCCCATTCCTCTTGTCAGCAAAAGTAAGCAAAGCTCTCAAAAATAATAGTACATAAACGCATTTCGTTTTCAAGCTTAGACAATGTGTGAGTAAAAAAGTAAATAATTACTGTTGACGTAATCACCAAATAAGAAAATCAAAGACACCCCCCCTATAGTGCTTACGTAATACTTAAACGGCCCCAAGGTCATTATGATGTGCACGCTGATCCACCAGTTTTCATGTGTCTACTTTCCTAACACAAACCAAATCTGAAACTTGGTTGATTCATGCTTGTGTAACTTTATTAATGTGTGTGTCGAGACCTTCTGTAATAAAGAAAGAAATCTTCTCCTGGTGCACAATTATACCAGATTTTCATTAGAGAAAAACTTTAATACTTATGATATTAGAACTGATACTGCTTTTGGAATTTACTCAGAAATCTTTCTTTCTCTACGGCTGCATTACATTATCAATACATAGAACTTCTGATAAAAATTAGCCGTGAACCAAGAAAACACACAATAATTGTTTCGCCGAAATTAACAATACAATATTACAGGCTTTGTAAATAGAATGGGGTGAACCTTTTTTAGTACAGGGTCAGTTTTAGAAACATACATAATTTATTGACTTGACCTGAATATTACACTGCCTTATTAATTGGTTGGTTTTTCGACTGCAGATCGTGGAGCATCGGGTTTGAAGACATTTTTTATGTATATAAATTTCCCAATATCCCCGACTCTTGTGGTACCTTATTTTATAACACATATTTTGTACAAATATAATTAAGAACTTTTCTGATATATAGATATATATAGTGGCGGCGTCCATGCGTCGGGTTGTCTCTCTCCCTAAAATATGGCGAGGGGGCCGATGGCTGGCCATGCGTCATACTCGTGAACGGGTGCTACTTGTGGTGACTGGTCGTACTTGAATTCGTGTATGCGGTGATGTTAATTATTTCGACTATGTGTTTGCGTGTTGTTCCCACGAGAATGTAAGTGCGTGCTCCTATTTCACCATGCCTCCTGCTGATAGGGGACAAGTCTTTGTTTTTATTTATGTTATTATTATTAATTACTTAAAATGTCATGTGGAACATTGTGTAAAAAAAAAAAACATGGCGATTAAAAAGAGTGGCGGAGAGTTTATTGCCAGTTCTTCTCTTCCGTTCTACGCCCTTGATTTGAGAACTGGCAGTAAATGTAAAATTAGAAGCATTAATATTTATTTCTTTAATGACGAATCACAAGTGTACATTGTGTTACCTACGTGAATAAATGATTTTTGAATTTTTAATTTTTGAATTTTATATTACTATTCCTGTTCTATATACATAGGCCCGTCGTCTGGGCTCCGCTACGCTGTTGTTGCAGTGTGAGGCATTTAACTATCTTATTGCGGAAATCTTTGAAGCTTCCAGAAGCTTCTTAATATTTCGGGTAAATGCTCGGCAGTTACCTTAATATCGATTTGTTGCTCCAGATCGCACTTGGGGGACAGGACTGGAAGAGGAAATACAGGACATTCTATAATGAGATGCATCACTGTCTGACTTGTTGTTTTAGTCCTGTGTTTTATGTTACAAGGAATATTTTCAACGTAGACGAAACATGATATTATGTATGTATTACATGTCATTTTTTTTATAGGACGCCAAAAAAGGGCAGACATCGCAGCTCATGGACACCTATTTTAGTGGGTGCATTGCCAGCCTTTGAGGGAGTGTACTCTTTCATTTAACAATTGAAGGTCGTATCTCCCAGGGAAGACCCGGAAGTCTCTTCTCTGCCTTTCGCCTGCTCTCGCAATGCTCCATATGATAGAGTTATTTGCTTTTCGCACAGACTTGCACTGCACTAATACGACGTGAATAAAAAAATAAAAAGTAATTGGGTCGTAAAATCTAACAGATTTATTGAGTTTAGTGAAGAATGCTTTCGAATGTTTTTGTATGCTTTGACTTTGAAGTAATTCAAATAAAATGTAAAATGTGTTAATAAAAAAATCTACATATGGCTAATATTTTACGAATTCGCAAAGGGCCTCTTACACAAAGAGTTAATAACATAATAAGATTGTAGGTCAGTCCGTAAACTAATTATAAAGGAAAGAAGCCTAGTGTCTTCAGCGTTCGACTCCCATCCCTAAGGTTGTAGGTTCGAGCTCCGGCTGTGCACCAATGGAGTTTCTGTATATGTGCACATTTAACAATCGCTCGAACGGTGCAGGAAAACATCGTGAGGAAACCGGCTTGCCTTGGACCCAAAAAGTCGATGGCGTGTGTCAGGCACAGGCTGATCACATACTTACCTATTTGGTTGACAAATGATCATAAAACAGATACAGAAATCTGAGGCCCAGACGTGATTTATTTATTTTATTTATAATCTTAAAATCAACTTCTAAAGTGGGTTCTTAAAATCTTTTTTGTATATAACACAACTTTTTTTAGGAATGCTGTGTAGGAAGTAAATCTGAGGCCACCAAGGTCCGACATTCTATAAATTAAATCAATTAACCAGTTAAAAATTATACAATTATATCATGAATAGGTTATATGTTGAAAGGTTTTACGCAGGCGGTCGCGGGCTTCAACTAGTTAAATATAAAATTTCGTACGTACAATGTAAACGTACAACAATAGATGTTTGCTCAGCTTTTACCAAGTACTACGCGGATTTAACAATAAAGACTTTGAATAATTTAGTCTTTAGCCAAACACTTTGTGTGGTCGACGAAAATGTTGCTGACAGTTGTGCTCTTTTATTTAACCTATATTCAAGTTTCATGTAAGTTGAAATTTTTACACATTACATTGATTTTATAATTTAAAAAAAATATATTTTTTTATAATTTTTGTAATTTGGGGTTGTTTCTAGTAATTTGATAAAAGCGTTTTATAACATTTAATAATAAATAATTGAACTTTATCTTTAGGTAGAATGTTTTCATGAGAATTGGGACCTGTGTTTTTATATTTACTATACTTAAAAAACCCTTTTAACGTATAAATATTTTTATAAAACTTACATTTTCATTCGTGTTTGTGTGTGTTTAGCGATTCGATCTCCGTTTAAGCTTTAGTTAGTATACACAATTTACAGATACTTTGCCGCCATTAGCAAATGCTTATAGAAATAATGCTAACTACCTCAAAACTAGAAATAATGATGGGTTTATGCAACATGCAATTTTGGAAGAGCAAAATGTAGGCTCAAACAATTACCAGCCATTACCAACTATAGCATCACATTCAAACTTCAATGCTGCTCAAAGCAATGCAGCAATTGCATCTGCGTCAAGAAAATTAGAGATCATAAATCAAAATGGAATGACAAATAATGGGAGATTGAAACAACAAAACCAGTTCAGACCGGAAGTAAATCAGAAAATTAATGTACCCCAAAACTACGAAAGTATTTTAAATAATATGAATTATCATTCAATGGTTTCACAATTTCAAGGTGAAAATTTAGCCAAACAATATGGCATACCCCAAAATTTCAAAATTAACCTACGTGGGTATATCGCTCCGGATATAAACAAAGGATTTATTCCACCACAGTCCGCTCCACTAAAACAGTTTTCACAAGTCAGGCCTGTTCAAAGGACAATACAGCCAACAGGAGTAAACATCGGTAATAATGTGAACCGCCCAATGTTGAACCTGCCAGTTGCATCATTACCCAATAAAGTAAAATCAGGTAATCTTTAATTTTTAAATATTTACAGAAATTAATATTTGTATTCTTGATCTGTTATTGAATTACGAAAATATTCTCATCGAAATTACTTGTCAAATTCTTTTGTCTTGTTTTTATAAATTGAACAAATGTGTGTGATACGTTACTTTATGAAAACTGTAGACGGATCCTAAAGTGACATCGAACGGATTTGGTTTCTAACTCGCTTCTCCTTGCTCTGTCATTAGTCGAAGACACATAATAGACCAATTGTTGTGCTAGGTGAAGCGTACTCAAAAGTGAATTAATTAATGGACATGTAGGGAATACTGACATAGAACTCGGAATTATACATATAGGTACCAGCATACCTTTGAAGAGTGCTTTGTTTCATACTCCTCACATCAACACTAACCATGCGAAGAACTTAGATTTGTATCGCACCCGGACATACAACGACCAATACGTTTACACGATCACACAATACAGCTAAATTAGGTATTCCTTAGTTAAATGTATTGAATAATTCTATTGTTTTTTCCCTTTTGTAAGTGTCTGAACCTTTTTGTAAATATTATATATTCCATCTTTGGCTATATTCGAAGTCTAATTGTTTGTTATATGTATATTGTTAGCTGTAGGATTACGAAATAAATAATAAAAATATATTTCCTTAATTATGTTGACTATTTCCTTCACTTACAGAAAATGCTCCTCTACAATCAAAAAAATATACAATTGTTCATCCAAATGGAGCTATTGAAGAAACGGATGATTTTGAATATATTAAAAAGAATTATCCGTACTACATCGTGCACGATTTAAATAAAAAAAATACAAAAAAAGAAAGTATTGCCGAAATGGAAGTGCATGCAGGAAGTCCTCTTGCAAATCCTACTATTGTACCAATTTACAATCTTCCACCAGAACAGCCAATATTAAATATGAACAACAAAGAGACACTGGTACCTAATACATTAGTTCCAATAACCCAATCACAGATAAATCCCACCAAAATAGATGAATTAGCTATCGTTAATGCAACTCATTATAATGCTTATAAAGATTTTGTAAGCTTAAGCCCCGTTTCATCAAGAAACTTAACCTCCCAACATGATATAAGCAAACTAGGTTCCCAAAAGCTTCATACAAGCATTTTAGAAACACTTAAATCAATAAAAAGCAATGATTCAAATCATTTACCTGTAATAGATAAAACAATTATAAGCCCTTCAGACCTAATTAAACCTCCCAAAAAGAATCAAGATACAAATATCGAACCTGATAGTCTACATCAAGATAATGTAAACGATATGCTTGAGAAGATAAGTGCGATTGACTTTTGGAAAGAAATAGATGTCATTCAAATCTCAGATGAAACAGCGGCAGCTGACATCAACAAAGAAAATCTATCTGATAACTTTGAAACAATAGATTCGAGCGAGGACGGAGAACGTATGTATGCTTTAGTTTTTCTACAACAATTAAAGAATTTTTACAAATGTACATGTCAATCAACTTTATTACAGTTACTAAAAACTCAACTATAAACCAGGAGACGACACAAAGCAAGGATCTAACATCGGAGGATGATGATGTTAACATAAAAGATACCGACGATAGTTACGAAGTTTTTAATACAAATCCAGAAATAGTAGAGGACTTTGTTAGCTCTATTGAAGATAGACTAGAGTTTATCAAACCATTTTTAATTATAAATGAGACTGATGCTATAGATCAACCTGAAGGAAATAGTTCGGAACCAGGAAACGCCCTAAGCGGTGCTAACACCAGTGAATCAGGTCAAGCCTTAACAAACCCTATTTGTAAGTACATTTTGAGATATTTTCAGTAGCAACCATTCAATAAGTTTCGGAAAGGTACTAGTTTTGAAACTGCGCAATTTAGAATTTAATTTTTGTATAAAATCTATTGCGTAAACTTTAATTACTTCTAGTTGTGTACCGCGGTTTGGGATGGTAATGTTATATCATAGTCACACTATTTTAAATAAGTACTTTTTATCTTTCTTTCAGATATCCCGCATATATCGCTAGTTGAAGACGATGATACGAATTCCTCGTTTTGGTTCACGACAATTGACGAAAAGGCGTTGGAGAAACTGTCGCCACATAAGAGGAAAAATGTAACCATTTCTTCGACACTCACTAATGGGGAGAATATAACCGGCACGATGTATTCCAATGAAACTAAAGAAGAAACTACGTTCGAAGGTATTTTATAGTAAATCAGTAGAAGCCGCGAGGTAGAATTTCGAATTAGAAGTTTTGAACACATACTCTATTCTCCACGTGCTATATTGATTTATGGAGATCACAAACTACTACTAAAACTTGTTAAGATAATGGTATAGGTTAGAGAGCTAACTTAAGTAACTTTGTCAGGTGACTCACGTCGTCTAGCTTTCCTGTTTCACTAAGTCGTGCTTGATTAATTTATGACATAATATACTCTATATTAAGCAAATCAAGCAAATGGCCGCATGATTTCGTTCGCGTGGAAACCGTATACGCGTATACAAGATCTAAACGAACAGCGGGTGCCTTTAGTTTATACGATGTAAGGATTTTGCCACACTACCAAGAGGTTTCTTTTTATGTAATAGGAGGCCAACGGGCAGGAGGCTCACCTGATGTTAAGTGATACCGCCGCCCATGGACACTCACATTGTCAGAAAGCTCGCAAGTGCGTTGCTGGCCTTTCAAGAATTGGTACGCTCTTTTCTTGAAGGACCCTAAGTTCAATTGGTTCAGAAAAATTTCAGTGGGCAGCTGGTTCCACATAGTGGTCAGTTATCGAGCCTAACTTAGATTATTAGGTCTAATACCATGTTTCTCACGACGTTGCCGAAAAATGTATACTACGCAATTAGTAAGAAAAGTACATTATGGGCTCCAACGTACGACCCCATGTTTGCTTAGCCAAACAAGCTTAACCTGTAGTCGTAATATTACCTATACATGAGTAAAACAATGAGAACAGAGAATATAATTAACAATTATATATATTATTTATCACTTGTGTAAATATCGAGTGCGAAAAACAAATTGCGTACGACATTGTATATTAAATTAAACATGTGTTTAAGGATATATCAAAGTTTCTATATTTGTAAAAGGGAATCTATATGCAGAGTCGGGATTCCAATGCCATAGGGATGAGAGTAATGTTTGACCACAATACTAACATTAGAATCAGAGTGCCAAAATTCAAAATAATTTATTCATATAGGTAGCAAAATGTACACTTATGAACGTTAAAAAATTAATATATATGAAATGCTTCTAAGTTTAGATTTACAGTTCACAAATCAAGGGCGTAGAACGGTAGAGAACAACCGGCAATAAACTCTTTTTAATCGCCAAGTTTTTGCCACAATTGTAACTTTAATTTTTTATTAATAGTTTATTCGCTTTTTCAGAAAAGAAGCTTGTTTCTGAAGACAGTGAAGAAGAAATAAATAAATCATAATATGATGTTGTTTTAATCATTATTTTAATAGCCCAATTAAATTATGCGTTAAATTCTTAAACTTTTCATTAAGATCTTCTAGTCAAGTCTTCTAATTAAAAAAAAAAGTGCGTGCGTACAAAGTAAACGTGTCAGAAGTGAAACTTCTTTGCCAAACTAATTTTTAAGTCTTGTTCATATTTATACAAATCTAGATTTCCGAGACTTAGAGGGAGGGAAAAAGTAAGATATGTTAGGAATTTAATGAATTGTCATTGAAATATTAAGTGTCGAAAATTAAAACAAATTATAAATTTAATTTTTTAAATTTATTTCTTCGATAATAAAAACACATGGCATTTTAATTTACAATTCGTTATTTGGGATTCCAATAAATTATTTTGCATAAAATATAAAATTTTAATTTTAAAAATAGAACTTCTTTAAGGTAATTCGCCCTTCTCACTCTCCTCAATCGGTCTCAATCGCTCTCTCCGCTGACGTGACGCTAATATTATTATTATTGCGTTTCATATTCTCATGCGTCTAAAGAAGTTTAACTTCAAAAATCATAAGTACGTTATCAATACTTATATATAAATTAAACAATAAATTATTTATTTACGACTCCTCGCATCAATCACGGCGGTTATATGAAACTAGCCATTAATCATATGATAATATACACCTGAAGTAATAAAAATTAGTATCTAAGTGTAAAACTCTTTATTTCTGTGTACGTTTGATTGTCTTGTTAAATTTGTTTGGAATCTGTTTTTACGTTGTTGCATTCTGTAATGTTGTAATCGTGTTTTTTTTAATATTTCATTTTCTAGCTAATTCCTATGTTGTCGTCGGAGGTATTAAATTACTTAAGTAGTAACTTTTTGTATAACATTTACAGCAAATTCCAGAAAAATGCCCGTTACGTATTGTTGACCATTATTTTTTTTTAATTCGTCTCTGTTAGTTCTATTCCCATAGCTTGTTCAGTGTTACACCTGTCGTATCCATACATTGGACAGTCGGTCAGGACATGTAACACCGTCTCTTCAGCTGTATTGCTACAAGGACAGGCAGCACTTTGTCTAACCCAAACCAGTACAGACAAGTTGTACTTGTCTTAACAAGAATCCACCTTGACCTTCGTTTGGGATGCATACAATATTTATATAATATTTTGTTCTGTTAATATGCCTGTTTCAACTCCCTACAAAATAAATAAAGTACTGACTTATCCTTTATGAACAACCAAGTTTTAATATAAAAACCCTATCCCTTTTGTTCAGCTACTTCCCATAGAAAAACCTTTTTAGAAAATTAGCAATTGTCTATGTAAATTTCCTTATGTTAAAATAGATAAATTCCAAGCGAGTCACAAGCACTCTGTACACAAATGGGGATTTGCTTGCGTCAGCATAATATAAAATGCTCTTGGATTGTGTCCAACGTTTTCTATTGGCCGTATAGAAATTTTAAAACCACGTGTGGGTCGAGAATTATAGATACTAAGAGTGACTACAAAATATACCCATTCCAGCCGAGTCCAATTCCGGCCGAATCACATTCTAGCCGAGCTACGCCCGAGCTGAGCTGTAAAGGCCCTTAAGGCCAACAACAAGATCCCACTAAAAAATAATCAATAATATACATATACACCAGCTTAGAAGGGACTCGCACTACTTAGCACGTCTCGACTAAAATTCGCTATTTGCTAATCGTACAATAGTTCGTCATAATTTAGTAGATTAACTGACGAAATTTAAAAAAAGGTAATTAAAAAGAAATCAATGGCGCTACAACACTTTTTTAGTCCTGGGCCTCAGATTACTGTATCTGTTTATTGATCATTGGTCAAACTTATAGGCGATGAGCAGGCATAGGTAGGTGATGAGGCTGACACACTCCGTTAACTTTTTGAGTCTAAGGCAAGCCGGTTTCCTCACGATGTTCTCCTTCACTTGCGAATGTTAAGTGCGCTCAAAGAAATAAATTCTATTGGTGCACAGCCGGGCATCGAACCTACGACCTCAGGGATGAGAGTCGCAACACTGCAAAAAGTTAAATAACCAATAGACATTATATATATGTGTATTAAGTAGACTGTGTTTAGATGAAGATAAAACTACTAAAACATAAATACCTATATATCCCTAAATTCACTAAAAAGAATATGTCGGAATCACAAGGCAATGATAAGATCAAAATCTCATCCAACCTTGAACTAGAACTTCTATCGTCTGTCTTGCTATTGGTCCTTCGTATAGTTCAGACAACTAACCCAAATTTGGAAGTGGAAATGGCTGACCCATGCGACTCATTCGATAGAAAACGTCCCCTTGAGAGATGTGTGATGCGATATTGCGGGCTACTCGGTTATTTTCTTAAGTTCTCGTGTTACACACATGAATAATGAATATCCTTTTTCTGATGTTTTTGAAGTGAAACTTCTTTAGGCGCATGAGGGTAAATTTTTTAAAAAACGTCACGAAGATGTGCAGCGTTTTTGTCGAAGAAAAGGGGGGGAGAGAGCGATTGGGACCGATTGAAAGAGTGGAAAGGGCGAATAACCTTAAAGAAATTCTATGTTTAAAATTAAAATTTCGTAAAGAGAATTTATGAAATACTCGTATTAGAATTTTGTATTTTATGCAAAATAATTTATTGACATCCCAAATGACGATTTCTAAATTAAAATGCCACGTGTTTTTATTATCGAAGACATATATTTAAAAAATTAAATTTATTATTTGTATTAATTTTCGACAATTTAAATATCTTATTAACAATTAAAAGCATTAAATTCCTAACATATCTTCCTTTTTCCCTCCAAGTCTCGGAAATCTAAAGTTTTAGATTTGTATAAATATGAACAAGACTTAAAAATTTGTTTGCCAACATTGATATACAAAAAACCCAAGATGCACAATCAACGTCTAAAAAACGTCCTCAAAAAATGAGCGCAACATTCTAAATTGTGCGCTCATTTCAAATAGTCTCGCGTCGCTCGCGTCTGGGAGCAGTTGTCAAAAATGTCAAAGTGTTCTGTGAGAAATTGTAAAAATATTACGTCAAGAAGGCTAAAAAAGGATGGGATATCGTATTTTCGGTAAGTAAAAAACTTTATTGATTAGTTTTTGTTGTTTTTATGACTGATTATAACAAGCAATGTGTGATTTTTATTTATTTTTTCTAAAAACTTCATTCAACGCACAAACTTCTATACGGCCAACTTCAATGGCTGCTTGTTCAGTGTTAGAATAACGCATTACAGTCTTCTTTTTATTTTAGTCGCATTATAAAAATGACCCTGTTCTAATAAGTGGAGTCGATGTTATTTATTTGTGTTTTTTTTTATAAATAAATTTATGTACTTTTGAACTTTTTTTGTGTGTAGTTTTTGACAAATATATTTACGCTATATAAAGTGTAGGTCAGGAGGTAGCCAATTTAACATTTTTTTTAATTTAAAGAAAAAACTTTTTAACTGGATTAAAGTTATGTATTATTATAAATTTACAACTATTTAACATCCAACACCTTTTGTCTTCAGTCACCGTGACCACGCACGCTGTAAAGCACGCGAAACGTTGGATATATTTAAAATTATGTTAAATAGTTGTAAATAAAAAAGTCATGTTCGACTCCACTCAATACCTTGTCCTACCGACCACGGTCGGTCGTAAAATTTTATTGCTTTAAGTACACTGCGTTGTAATAACAACCTTAAACAATTTGCGTAAGGTTGATTTTGCAATAATATATGCTTGTAACTTATAGAAAGAGACAGAAATAGTGTTTCGGGACACTTTCGAGCGTTACTTTTATTCAAGACTGTGCATCTTGGGTTTTTTGTATATCAATGTTTGCCAAAGACTTTACTTCCGACATGTGTACTTTGTACGCACGCACTTTTTTTTCATAAGTGTTTCATTGTACTAATTTTAACTGGTGTGATGTTTGAGGTCTTAAATAAAATAAATCTGACGCTTTTAAAAATGCAGGATGTTGCACATACTGGCGGACATAACTATCACCAAAAATGTAATTTACGTGTATATATTCTATAAAAAAACAACTCGATTTACTGTGTCTTCTTTACGTAATATAGTCTAGGATAATATAGTAACTATGCTAACACAAAGGAGCTTTCTCGTTTGAAGTAGCTTATTAACGGAGCAAAGACGCGATGTTTAATATAAATTATTTTCTATAAATGACCCAGCCATTTTAATTAAAGAATAAAAATAACCCGTGACATATTATACCCGTAGTAATAATTGAAATAATGAACGTCAAATGAACTTTTTCAAACGATAACTGAAATGCAATATAACTTTATTCATATATGTAAACAAGTACACTTATGAACGTCAACAGAAAAAATGTTAAATTGATTCTAAATTTACATTTACAACCAGTTCGCAAGTCAAGAGCATAGAGCGGGCAAGAAGAAGTGGCAAGAAACTCTCCGCCACTCTTTTTAATCGCTAAGCTTTGAGTCTTAATTTTTTTTTAACCTGGAGCAAATCAATCCAACGGATTATGATTATTTAAATATTTGTCAAATTTATAAAAAGCGTTATTGATTAATTTACGTTTAACGAGAGATTTGAATTTATTTTTCGCTTGGGAGTTTGTCTATTCATAAACATAAAAAACATTACATAATTATAAGGAAAAAGTGAAGGAATAATTAATTATAATATAATTAATTTGGTAAGTTATTTCCATGGTCTGAAATATTACTACTTTACTTCTCTGTGACCATGCGCCATTTACACGGTTGGGTCCATACGATATGTTCCATTAACATTTATTAATTTGGTTCAATTAAATTTATTAAGTATTGTTATATTATATAAAGTATTGTATGTAACTGGAAATAAAACTTTTCCTATTACACTTTTCTGCATTACATATTAATGAAACGAAATGAATTAAATTTTCAGCAGGCTTACTCACTAAACCTGTTAAGCCTGACTCAACACGTGTAGCATGTGTTTGTTACGTTATCACTA